CTAATAATATAGGCCTTACCAAGACTGGACATCACGGTTAACTGATGGAAATAATGATATTCATAAACTTCAAAAATGCAACAAAACTGACGAAGTCACATGAAAGTGAAAGGTTAAAATAAAAACACTTAGAAGAATTAGTTCTACCCTTTGTTTCATATTCCTTGACGTTTCCCATGTCTTCTTCTTCTGTATATCTTCACTCACAGGGTGTCTGAATTCATGAATGGATCAATGTACAGATTCATTATTGCAGAATCATAGAATCATAAAATGGATTGGGTTGGAAGGGATCTTTAAGATCACCTAGTTCCAACCCCCTGCTGTAGGCAGGGACACCTCCCACTAGACCGATTGATCAAAGTCCCATCCTGGTTTGCAGCGTCTGAGGCACAGACTCAGATGTGAACGGTCCGTTTTGTTTATTACAGGTTCTCACATCCACTATATACAATCTCAAGTTTTCCCTTCCAACTTCCTCTCCCCTCTTCCCCTCCCCCCCGGTTTACATGTCAACAAAACATTCCACAAACAAACACTACTTAACTGTACCTGCGAGCAATTATCCAATCAGTCATGAGTCACTCCTTGCCAGTGTGCCAGAATGCTTCCAGGGAAGGGACATCCATGACCTGACTGGGTAACCTGTTCCAGTGTCTCACCACTCTCACAGTAAATAATTTCTCCCTAATATCCAATCTAAATCTACCCTCCCTCTTAAAAACATTTCTCCTTGTCCTGTTGCTATCTGCCCTTATAAAAAGTCCTTCCCCAGCTTTCCTGAAAACTAAATTACTGTGTACATGAAATAAAATGATATTACCATATGTTATGGATCTAGAGTAGAATTTTTTGCTCATATACAGAGCAAGTGAGCAGTACATACAGCTTGATTCCACCATATTCCTATTGGCACATATTCATCACTAGCTCTGGAAGTCTGAATCTGTGGCTAACACACTACCCTTATTGGCAGCTTTATCAAGTATAGCTGTTGATGGATCCTTCTTCCTTTATCTAAAGAAGGTGTCACGATCACAGGATTTGATCATCCTGCTTTGAGACTTCAAGTACCCGCTGCTCTACAATGCAAGCAAGCTGATTGGTGACATCAGGATTGGAGGCTTCCTGGGCAATGGACTTGATGGTTGGACTGTTTCATAGATGAGGAACTGGTGGCAAGGTAGTTAAAGGGTGGTGATGGCAGTGTCTGTGTGGAATCTGCTGACAAGTCCCTCAGGAGTCAGTATTGGGACTGATGCTTTTTATTATCTCTTACCAATGATATGGACAGTATGGATCAAGTGCACCCTCAGCAAGGTCGTGGATTACATTAAGCTGTGTGGTATGGTCAACATGTCTGAGGGACAGGATGCCATCCAGAGAGACCTAGACAGGCTTGAGCAGTGGGTCCAGGTAAACTTCATGAGGTTCATCAAATCCAAGTACAGAATCTCGCACCTGAGTTGTGGCAACCCCTGCTATTAGGACAAGCTGAAGGATATAAGGTCAGAGAACAGCCCTGCCAAAAAGGTCTTGAGGGTACTGGTGGATAACAAGCTGGGCACAAGCCAGCAATGCGCCCTCTTAGCCCAGAAAGCCAAGCTTGGGCTGCATCAAAAGAAGCGTGATCAGCAGGTTAACAGAAGTGATCTTGCCCCTCTGCTCTGTGCTGGTGAGACTTAACCTGGAGTGATGTCCAAATGTGGAGTCCTCAGAATAGGAAAGACATAGACTTGTTGGATGTTTTCCAACATCCAGAGGTGGATAACAAAAATGATCCATGGAATGGAACACCTCTCCTGCGAGGACAGGCTGGAAGAGCTGGGGCTGTTTAGCCTGGAGAGGAGAAGGGAAGGCTCAGGGAGACCTAATAGTAGCCTTTCAGTATCTAAACAGAGACTATAAAAAAGAAAGGGACAGACTCTTTAGGGGGGGGTGGGAGGGGTCCTGTGGTGATAGTACAAGGTGAAATGATTTCAAACTATAATAGGGGAGATTTAGACTGGATGGAAGGAAGTTTTTTTTTTTATTATTTTATTTTTTTAACAGTAAGGGTGGTGAGGCATGGGATCATGTTGTCTAGAGAGGTGGTAGATGCTCTGTCCTTGGAGATATTCAAGATCAGGCTGGACCATGCTCTGAGCAACCTGATGTAGCTGTGGAAGCTCATTGCAGGGGAGTTGCACTAGATGACCTTTAAGGCTTCCTGTCAACTCAAGAAATTTTATGATTCTGTGGTTCTCTGATTCATATTAACAAGATGTTCAAAATTTCCCTATACATGAAATTAGTTGTGAAAATATAGCCTAAGGAGTAGAAGAAAAAAAAAAAAGATTTAGCCAAAGATTAAAAACATCAGGGAAAATTATATGGTATCTTCGCTTCAAATTTAATAGTGCGGTAAAATTATATTCTAAATATAAGCATTTTAATTTCTGCATAAACAAATGCAGATAAAATTTGTCACAAGTTGAACTTCAATATGGAATAATTATAATGCATTAAAGTTCTTATGATTGTTTTTTCTTCTTATTTTCATACTAATTAAAGTAACACAAAATGGGATTTTAAGCTAATTTGTTCTGCTCATGCTCAAGTAGTAGTAGCTACTTATTCCATAGAAGTATGAGGGGGAGGTGAACTGATGTAGCAGTAATACTAATACACCCTTGTATAGCCTATTTTTTTTTATTAGTTGCTTGAATATTCTGTCAATATGAAACTGTCTGAAGAGTTCATGTACTAAGACACTTAACTGCTGGTTTTCTTTTTTTTTTTCCTCCAAACTCTGACCATGCTAAACCACTTAATACTACATGAGACCTCACGTAGAAACATCATACTGTCCTTCTAAGAAAGTGAATACATTTGTTACCAAACTTGTGAAGGTGCCTTAATGCTTAAAGGCAAAGATAAGCAAGACATAGTGAAAATCATAATGGATTTGGTACATGCTGCATGTCATTGAAGTTAATGCTTTGTACAGTAGGATCCTGGAGAGATCTGTCTTTCTTCTTACCATGTTTACTTTTTCTTTAGCTGAGTGTGATTTTCTAGCTTTTGTTCAAGAAATATTAAGTGGTACATTGGTGTTTCAGAATTTGGTTTACAATTTATCAACTTACAATATATTCATATACCTGTGTATCCCAGAAAACATTATATATTTCCTCTCTCAATATGCAAGGCAGGAACTTTTGCACATCCTTCCACAAAATATCCTTCAAAATAGCTATGTTGATTACATATAGAAACATGTATTTTATGAAATAAATTATGATTACTATTAACAACCTTATTTTAATCCTGTTAGTACTGAAGTTTTCTTTACACTTAACAGAAAATATTTTCAATTTGAAAGTAAAGAGACTGACAGAGCTTCAGCTTTGAAACAGCTTCAGCTGTTTTGTTTAAGTTCTTCTCTTAATGCTACGTTTAGTGATAAGAAACCTAAATGTGATAGAATTACCTTTCTTTAAAAGGGTGATGATTCTTTCAATCCTTATTTCTTTCTGTAAATTGTGTGTTGGTCCAGTGAATACCTGCAGTCATGCAACAAATTTGGGAGGGTCACTGATAAATATATGGGTTATCAGAATGTCAGCTGCTTACTGTGTCTTCTGACCATCTTGTATAAATCTGGGGGAACAGGACAGCAGTGGTAAGAAAAAGTCAGATAACAAAGAAAAACTTGCATGACGCTACTAGACAGCTTTACAGTTTCCATCTTATATTGAAAGCTTCATGTGACACAGAAGATGGAAAAAAGGTAAAATATTCATTATTACGGTTATTGTATTGTTTTGGTATTACAATATAAAGCGGCTTTTCTGTGGCATTGTGTGGTGAAGTAGAGGACTTTTTGAGTCTTCAATCCCATGTGATAAACTATTAAGATGTGTAGATTCCTCTTCATGCGACAACAAACATTTATATGAAGAAAAGTGTGAGTTTATCTAACAGCTGATCTATATTACTTTCAACAGAAAGACCAATCTAATCTCAATCCTTATACAGTCTAAAATGATATTCCAAGCACAGCAAAATGAAACCAGAAGTGGTAGTTTCTTAAAATTTATATTACACTTTCACATTTTTTGTATCGTTTTATTTTCCTGTACTCCAACTTATCCCTGTGATACATAATTTATAGATACTAAATTATTTGGAGTCAATGGTGATATTAGTGTAAGATATTATAAAAGAGATTTTGTTAAAAAATAGCAGGTTTGTGGGCTCTCTTATTGAAAAGGATGGTTCTTTGAATTCGTATCATTTTATTTCACCTTTTATTAAAAAGCTTATCAGCAGGAGTTTTTTTTTTAAAAAAAACTTTGTATAATGTAACAATTAAATGAAGATTGCTGCTATTGTGTATTCGTAGGTGCTCTTTTAGCAAGCATGAACTCTTGTAGGAGAACTATAGGCTATGAGAGGAGTGATGCGTATTATTTAGATAAAATTTACCCATAAGTCACATTACAAATAAAACCAGGAAGTCTGAAAACTCTAAGAACCACTGAATATACTTATATTTTTGTAGTGATGCTTTTGATAGTCAACTGTTTAGTGCTTTGCAAGGAGGTAAATGGCTCTGAGTTTTGCTCTGTACCAAAGACAATGCAAGTTTAATTGCCAACTTTAATGCAAATAAATAAATGAATAAATAAAACACAGTCTAGTTGATAGTTACATATGTACTTAGATTTTAATCTCATTATAGAAACCAAAGCAATGTTGCCAAGCCTTCTCTTATGTTCCAGCCTTCATCTGTAAGACTCCTATATAGCTGAATTAATGTTTACACATCTGAAATACTCAGTTAATTAAGATGTCCAGTCAGAGAATAATCCTCTCTGCTTGTTTTTTTTTCTGAAGAATTATATATATGGAGCTAGAATTATTTATAAAAAGATCTTTCAATGTTTCATGGAGTTTTGCTTTAAAAAAAAAAAAAACAAAACAAGAATGCATATGTTATCAATTCTTTTTCTCAGGCTGCCTAGAATTGAAAGAGGACACTATTGAAAATCTTCTAGCAGCTGCCTGCCTCCTCCAGCTCACACAAGTAGTAGAGGTTTGCTGCCATTTTCTAATGAAGCTTTTGCACCCGTCCAACTGTTTGGGAATACGAGCTTTTGCTGATGCGCAGGGATGCACAGAGCTTATGAAGGTGGCTCACAACTACACTATGGTAAGGCAGTATTAGAATATCTAAATTGTGATCATGTAAATCTTTTTATCTTCTGTAAGTAAAAATATCTTGCTAATTTTGGGCTTGAAGTTCTTCTGTACTTGCCTCATACTTTGTTTTACAAGCGGCCCTTTTGAAACCCCTCTCAACTGTCTTTTAATTATGAGAACTTGCTTTCTGTAATGAGTGCATTATATATCGAGACAGAAAAGCATATGACTTAATTTTGTATTCATATACAGTTGATAACAGTAAGTAGTGTCTGTAAGTCACTTTTTAAAAAAAAAAAAAAAAACACTGTTCCTTTTGTTTTAGTTTAGGGAAGATTTGCAATATCAAGTTACTTTTTTTTCCTCACCCAGTCTGCCTCCTTTTATTATTTTTTGCAGTAGCTTAAGATAGACTTGAACACAGAATTGTACAAACAGAAGTTCAGTATTAGTTTTGTCTGACAATATTTTAATTTTTTTTTCAGTTACACCTAGTAGAACTTGTAAGACATAAAAATTAATCAGAATCAATGGAGCAAAAAATGTTACTTATTCAGCAAGTAAATTATATCCGTAGCCATTTAATTCTGCATCGTTTGTCAAAATTAAAAAAACATCTGACTCATGAATTAAGCTTACATAAAGAATAGATTACCTATCATTTCTGAAAAATAATGGCCCCTTAAGGTCTATACTGAAATTACTATTAAAGTAATGCAGCAGATTTTAGCAAGTCTTCTTCACTTGCCCAGCAGTTACATCTTTATTTTGCTTAACTAATATCACGTTGTAGGTCATGGGTGTACAATCAATGAGTATACAGATGATATAGTACATCCAAAAAACTTCACTTGTGTAGTTATTATACTAGAGCAGAAAAGAAAGACACTCACCCTATCCTAGGCTCACTTACAAAATCCCAGCACAGCAGACCTCCAGAAGAGATCCATTCCTACTGGTAGTCAGCACTTAAATGGGTCTAGGAGAGGTGGAGCCAGGCTCCACCCCTTCCAGCAGCACAGGTGGATTGCCTTCACCTGTGCTCCTGTGGCTGACTCATTGCTCACCTCAGGTGATCAATCAGAGGTTCAGGCTGTGATTCAGCAGTTTCCATACTATGGGTTTAATTGTCTTTTTTTTCTCAGTACATTTGTGTATTATATTGGTGTTTTATTATTATTATTGTAGAATGAAAACAATGTGATGAGCAATAAAAAAAATAAAATCAATTTAAAAAATAGGGGAAGATTTTGGTTTTTAAAATGTTTTCATGATTCTTTACAATCATTTTTAAATTTTCTGGGGTTGAATAACAGTTTGAAATTAAACACTGTAGTATGCTTGAAGACTGGCAACTGAAACGTAGCTGATAAATAACAAAGATCTGTGCCAATGTCCAAAATATTAGGTATATTCTAAAGTATAGCTTTAATGCTCAGATTTAAATTCTGAATTATGTGCAATGGGAAAATTGCTAACAAAAGATGATAGATAAGAAAGGAAGTCAGTTGTAATTTATATATAAACTCAAAGGTAACTGCAATTACACTTTCAAGCATGCATGACAGTCATACTTCATCTTTTCAAGAATGACAAAAATGCGCAACTGTTCAGTTATGATATAGCAATATTTATTCTGTTATGTCACTGAACTTGCAACTCACTAAAATGATTGTCATAAAAGTCTATCCTAACGGCATGATATTTGCATAGGCATGGTGTTATTACATTTAGTGAGTTCACATGGGAACAGACTCTTTAACAGGCTCTGTTGAGATAGGATAAGGGGAAATAATGTCAAACTAAAAGAGGAAAAAATTAGATTGTAAGGAAGATTTTTTACATTAAGGATGATGAGGCACTGGAACAAGTTGCCCAGAGAGGTGGTGGGTGCCCTGTCATTGAAGATATTCAAGGACAGGCTGGAAGGGGCTCTGACCAACCTGTTGTAGCTGTATATGTCCGTGTTCATTACGGGGTAACTGATCTTTAAGAATCTCTTTCAACTCAAACAATTCTGTGGTTCTATGATATCTGTTTTAATTAATCTTTTCTTTTAAAGCATGTGAATGAGGAATTTGGTGTGGGGTATTACTGCCTGCTTTGACCGCAGCACTCTAAATCAGATTGACTCTACATAAGTGAAAAAAGATTATTTTACACTCACACATAACCAGGAAGAATTTCCAGAGTGCTGAGTAGATACACTGGGACAGGTGGATAGAAGTTCAGAAAACAGTGTCAACATTTTACAGGCTGGCCCAGTTCTGTGACTAGTGGGGTGGAGGGATTTTGCAAAATCTGCGCCTCTGGAGAAAGGGAACAGGGGACCCCAAAATAATTAAAAACGGCGGCAACGATCTGAGGAGAAACAAACTAATTCACTAAATATAGAATTGGAATGCAAGATAACACACTATAATACAATATAATCAGAATTGAAGCTAATAAATCAAATATAATGAGAGAGAGAGAATGTCCAAAAGGAGGATAGGCCTCACCATGTCGCTGAAGTGAGATGCGCAGTCCAGTTGAGCAGCAGGGAGACGAGGAGAGCTGATGAAGAAGAGCAGACGAAAAAAGAGAGCATCAGGTGACCTTGCCAGGAGTTATATCTCCTCTCTGTGACCGCAAAGTCCCCTGGGGAATGTAGTTCTCTTCTGTACAGGTACCCAGAACTTGAGCATTAACAGTTAAACTCCCAGTGCCCCACATGATGTTGTGATGTGGAATACCGAAAACCAAGAATCACAAAACCATGACAAACAGAAACTTTCTGATGTGAATAAGGAGCAAGGAAGTGGCGAGCAAAGAGTGGGTGCATAGTCACTGAGGTGACAAAAAAACACATTTTTCCTGCAGACTCCAAGGAAATAGTATGGACTTTAATGAGAACAGTTCTGAGAGTATGGTAAGGGTAGAGTTGTCAATAAACTCGTTCTGTCTTATGCAGTGCATTTTAGGAGAAGCTCTCTTTTAAAAAAAGTATGAGTAAATGCTTGTTTGTTTGTTTGTTTTTAAAAAAGGCTGTTGTGCTCTCATGAGAACTTAAAAGCCCTGTCTTTGCAGTCTCTTCAAGGTGTTTTCCTTAAGTTTGCACATTGTGGCTTTATAGTAACATATCCTGCCAGTTGGCATGTAGAAATTTACATTTCTCTGAAAGCTATATAAAGTAAACAGATTAAGAAGCTTCTGGAATGAAGGCTGAATGAATGATGGATTAATGAGTGAAGATTTCATATTTTGTGTTTCTGCTTTGTAAGGAAAAACAATTTTTCTCGACAAAAACACGAGATAAAGTGAATTTTTCTTAGCAAATTGTCTAAAATATTTACTTAAATTATTTCTCATATAAATAGTGGAAGTGTTAGAACATCAATGTCTCTGATAGATTTATAAGGAGAAAATTTGTGAACAAAAGGGAGGAAAACATTGAATAGCATTTCAATTCTAAAGGCTTTAAAAAGTTAAATAATATATCTTTTTACTTTTTCTTCAGTTTTTAGAAATAGTGAGTTCCTTTCTGGATATTCAACATTAAAAGCTATTGTTAAAACATTTTAATACTATTTTGATGAATAGGAAATAATTTCAGTGAATAGGGAATTATAACTGACAGTCTGAGTTGACAGTTTTATGAGGCTAATTTTCAAAACAAAAGATTTTTATTTTTTAATGCGGTAGAAATTACTAAGTGAAGAAAAGTAGGTATTTGTGTGCCCAAAGTAAAGAAAAAATGACTGAGATGATACACCTTTTGCCTTCTTTACATTTAGAAAGATATTTACGCTACAAGCAGGAAATTATTTTTTAGCTCATCATTTCTGTCTTTTATATAGCCAATAGTAATCAAATCAAATATTTTTTTTACTGAGCTTGTGATATTTCTATACAAAAAATGCAGTTAGACATGACTAGAAATAGGGATAGAAAAAAGTTCATCTCTTTAGCTCTCAACATCTAACTGAGATAATTTAAGGTACTTGAACCTTAGCATTACTCCCTTAGACTGTATCATTCCTTACAAACATCATAAAGCTTTCATCCACCAATCAGATTTGTTTATGAAGTCATTCTTTATCATAGTTTTCTTCACAATAGCATTTTAATGGAACTCAGTATATTTTCATGAAAATGATCTGCTTGATTTAATCTCCATAAATTCTTTAATCTTACTTATTCAAAGGCAATTTACTTGACTAGTATTAGGCTTGATTATTTAATAAGTTCTAAATTACACTGTAATTTTCAATTTACATATATATAATATATCAGGACTACTGCAAAAGTAATGCCTCCTATTTCAAGGCAAAGCTGGATGTGGCTCTGGGCAGAAAGGCCTGGTCTAGTGGTTGATGACCCTGCCCATGGCATAGGGGGATGAAACTAGATGATCTCTGAGGTCCTTTTCAACCCAGGCCTTTCTATGATTCTATGCTATGATTCTATGTTAGTATGTTGGCACATAACATCAACACAGTGTGGTGGCAGTCGAGGCTGAACCTTCCTGTGAATATTCCCTTATACTTTGTTGCTGTGCAACAGATGGCAGCAGAGAGGCAGTCTGACAAAATGGTGTCTGCAATGAAAGTAGATATGAAGCAAAGGGTGGATGGAACTCAACTCCTCTATGTGAAAAAATTTGTACCCTTTGACATTCATCCACACTTTCTGAACATTTACAGAGATCAAGCAGCGAATGTGAGCACAGTGAGCTGGTGGGTGGTATGCTTCAGCAGTGGTGACAGTGACATGAAATCCAGGCCATCTTCCAAATGGCGTTGCAGATTTTTATGAACATGGAATGCAGGTTCTTTTTAATCACTAGGAAAAATGCGTAGCTAATGGTGGTGACTACACTGAAAAATAGTGTTTTGTAGCTGAGAATTGGCTGTATTGATTAGCACTGTTGTGCTCTTTGCATTTCTTTTTCTATTCCATGGGAATAGATAGAAGGCATTACTTTCAGAGGTATGTACTCATGCTTGCTCTATGCTTTTACATAACACC